CACACACACACACACACACACACACACACACACACACACACACACACACACACATGTTGAGCAAACAAAAGCCCAGGGAAAAAAAGCATGACTGTGATATGCAGTTTTATCAGACGTTCACCAACTAATCAGACGAGTCAACCTTCACAGTCCGTCGAGGATGAATTTGGCTGATATCTTTCAATGCAGATTGTCCTGAGTTAGCTATGCCCTGGAGAGAACTCAATTATTCACACCAACCTTGTGTATTTGATCTGACAGGTAGAACAGCAAAAATCAAGCCCAAAAGAGTCATACCATGCTACACATCCAACACATGAATTTTTGTTTTCCACACTTCCACACTGGCACTGCAGAATGAAGCGTCTAAAACTTCACAGATATAACCCTGAAGCAGTCGCACACGAGTACCCAATACCAACCTTTTGACTGCTGAATGTTCATCGTGCATTTGAGTTACAGCGTATTGTGAGAATTCATTTTGGCTGTCAACATTTCTGCCCTTCCCTATCACCCACTTCCCCCCTCTCTCTCTTCCTTCCCCTCCTCCCTCTCTCCTGGTGAATGTATGCTCGGTCTTGAGGCCGGTGTGCATGAGCGTGAAGATACATTTGCCTATGGGTTGTTGAGGTTTCACCATCATCGCATAGGACCCATTCCGTTGCATAGTTGGTGACAAGATTACTGTGCGTATTTTGTGTGGGCCTTCGTGTGTATAGATAATTGCTAAATAGACCTCCCCCCCCCTCCCCCCCTCACAAGAAACATCATGTTTTTTTCAATAAACAATGGGATTTGACCATGACACTGCTGAGGATGTGCTGACAAGTGTCTCTCAGCACACCAACTCGCACAAGATCTCACAAAACACTGAGGACAGTTAGTGTGTGCGTTTGTTTTGAAATACTAGAAAAGCAATGGCAATCCCAAAAGCAGCTCTCAGCAAAAGCACCTGGTTCCCCTGCTCAAGTGACCGACTCTCAATGGACAGTTCTTGACAACTGAAAGTTGATAGCCCGGCGGAATGAGGCAGACCTAGTCGTTGAACATTGCTTCTGGAATTGTGAACTAGACACACTCAGTCCGGTCGGACAATGAATCATTAAAATAAACAAATGCTAGGATAATGGACTCGCTTGTCAGCCCTGACGAACCTCAAAGGTACACTCTTCTCGATCCTCCTCCACATAATCCAGAAGGCCGTCTAAGGAGATGCTCATTGACCGCATCTGCCAGGTGCATAACATTGATAAAAACACAAACGATCACAGAGAAAATATCAGCATGGTCGAAACCAAAAGGCAGAATATTTGATTGCTGAATGAAAGAACACAAGGCTTGACAGTACTGGAACCTCAGTACGACTGCCACACCTCACATAGAAAACATCGTTGGGTTTTGACTACTGATTCTACCGGGAATGCAAAATTGTTTGTCGGTGAAGAGGACAGAAAGAAGGGACAATGGTTGTGGCACCTAACAAAAACTGTCTACGTTGTGGATACCATAACAAAACACAACATTCACTCCAGCATTGCAATCACTCAAGGGGTGCATCTCTACTCCCGCAAATGTGAGAGTGATTCCATGTACCAGTCCTGAGCAATCTATGACAGAAGATGTGATGGGCACTCATTATCTGTCAAATACAAAGATCAGGTTTACTAAACACCTGAACGTACATCAAACCATCAAGGTAGTTTCCGGAAATTCAAACTAAAGAGTCTTAAACCACTAATACCTTTGTCATTTCGAAAAATAGCGCGCCTCCGACCTTTCAGGAGGCCGAAATGAAACAACGGCCGCCGATTAGATCTATCAATGGCAGCCGTCGGGCCCGGCCTCCGAATTCTTTGGGAACAGGCGTTTTCCCTCATTTCTGAAGTGGCAAAGGTACTAGTCACCTCTTCCAGGCGCAATGTCCAAACAATCCCGTGAGAGCACACATGGCCTCCAGAGATGTTCGACAAACCTTTGACGACTTGCTCTTTTGGTTGATATGACAACAGCCGGACCAGTGGGAGGCTCTTCGACAACAGACTTTGTGTCCTTTTTATCCACTTCGTTATCCATCTTTTCTTCTTCCTCCTCTTCCCCATTCGCTTCAGCAACTATATCATCAACCGCTGCACATCGTCCACACAGCGAATGAAACACAGCCAGAGGGAAATTAGTAACTTAGTTAGGAAGCTAGGATGCATCAAAAGAGGGTAGATGGGAAAACAGGGGACGGCTAGAGGGAGGCTGTAGGAATCATGGGGGGGGGAACGGATGGGACGGACCAGATTGTGACTTTTCTTCATACGATGGAGGGGAGGAGCAGGGTACAGGTCTGTTTGAATGGGAGGAGGGAAGAGAGGAGCTTCTTTCCAGATGGAAGGAAGGAAGATAAGAACTTTTCTTTGCTGCAAAGATAATTTTCAAAAGGGTAGAGGGAAGATGGAGGAGACTACTACGCTGTAAAGGACAGGAGAGTACTTCTCCTCTCCTGTGTTGTTGCTCCTCCACCAGTCTCAGTGAGATAAGTCCTGCACGGACCTGCATCACTACACCGTATGTCAGTGTAGCCCAGTTATTTTGTGGGGGAACAACATAACGATGCAGGAATTATCTCGCCGAGATTGGTGGAACAACAACATAAACTGACGTATGCTGGAGTGATGCAGGAATTATCGCACCGAGATTGCTGGAGGAACAACAACACAGGAGAGGAAGGTCTTCTCCAGCAAGCAAAAGATACAATAGATACAAAGAAATTATCTTTCCTATTTTCTGAAGACCACAGCTACTGCAGATGGTAATTTTGGCAGCCTCATGAAATGAGCACATGGTTGCTAAGCAGTGATGGCATAAGACTTGTTGGACAGTAGCAAGGAAAGCCAAATGATGTGAATGAGGTAGTCGTCTAGTACAATGAAATCGCGGACGCAGAAGGACGACGGAGGAATAACTCAGGACAAAGGAGAGGATCACTTCATCATAGACGTAAATGTGGAACCCATGGAGGAGGAGTACGCGACAAATACTCGAGGAGAAAGGAGAGGGTGTCTTTCACCATTCATGCGATGCCCACAAGACACACATCGGGTTGGGAGGAAGAGACAGCAGAGAAGAAGGGTTTCATGGATGTGAAAGGACAAGGGGAGAATGAGGAGGTCGAGGACAAAGAGAGGAAGAGGAAGAGGGCGCAATTAAGCATTCGAAAAAAGAGAGCAAGAAGAGAGCACTGTGTTTTTCTGACAAACAGGAATTCCTGTGGATGGAGACGAGAGCCAGAAAAATGCTAAGATGGTTGAGGAAGAAGGAGAGGGGAAAAACAAGGTGGAGGCGAACTGCAAAGATGGAGAATGCTGAGGATCTATGCATGAGGGGCAGACGAGGAGGCAGAAGGCAAGGGTGCAGCGGGAGCAGGAGGTGTACATGGATGTCGTAGACTCCCAACGACTAGAGCAATTTCTAACGTCATTACCAGCCAATCTGCCCAGGGCCGGAGGGCAGCCCAGGTCACCCAAAATTCAGATCTGCCAGCAATCTAGAACGTTTGGTCATCGACCATGGTTCTGGGCTGTTCTCCGGCGCACAGCCCAGACACGTGGGCAGTCTTAAATTTTGGGTGATTGGCCGTGAATCTGGACATCTTCTGCCAAACCGACCAGATCACCAGCCACAGCCAAACCTGTGAAACCGGCCCCAACCATCACCACCCACTTGGAACCCGTCTCACTCAGCGGGCTGCCTTCCCTGCAAACGCACAAACCGGCCACTTGAACCACCATCTCCTGCTGCCAGCTACCTTCCCCACAGGCAGCTGCTTTCCGTCAATGTGTCAGTATCAGCCGCACAAGACATGGGTATTTCAAGAATCTCAAGAATAGGGAGGAAGGAGCTAGCTCTTCAGTCACCTTCTTGGACATGATCCGAGGTATATTCCAAAAAAGGAGGGGGGAACTAGGTTTCTAACAGCAGATATATGGCGTTCGATACTCGGGCCAAGAGGTTCTCTTCCTCTCCTCAACAACCTGCAAAGTCAATCCTCTGGAATCCAGAGTAATCAATGCTGGCAGGTTCCAGACAGTTTCTCAGTTACATTCTGTTTTCATTCTGCATATGGGACGCTGGACCCGTTTTCCAGCAGGTGACGCTCCCCACCAATAGATGGAGCCTCTCCCCGGGTGTTAGTGTTGTCTGGTTTACCAGCACTGCTAACACTGCAGGGGGTGTGTGTTTGAAAAAAAAAAAAAAAAAAAAAGGAGTTGAAAAAACACATGATGGTAAAAACACTAGCGAGACCTGGCAACAACCAAAATCGATGGCGTAATGGCAATGCATTTGCAAAACAGAAAGGCCTGAAGGAAAACATCATCACACGCATATGAAGGCATTAGTTCAGGTGACAAAGGAGCAGGTGAGAAAAGAGGGGAGATGGAGCAAACCTTGGACTCAGCTTCCCTCCTCCTTTTTGCTTCTTGCTTATCATTCCATATTTCCTTCCACCTTTCCACGCTTGGTAAGCATTTGTGTACGTCCGGAATATACATAACAGTGATCTCCTTGTGGCTAGGGCCACCATCCTCAGCAGCCCTCTCATAATGGACCTGCGCCACATGAACCAAGCCAAACCTGTCTATTAGATTGCATGGCAATGACAGTGCATTGAGCCTCACTGCTCGACACCTCGAGCACAAACACACACATTGAGAGAGCACACGAAATCCACACTGGAGTCCAGAGATGCAAACCCAACAACAGCATCCTCATCTAAGGTAGGTGACTCTCTTCTCTCCCTGTCTCTCTCTCTCTCTCTCTCTCTCTCTCTCTCTCTCTCTCTCTCTCTCTCTCTCTCTCTCTCTCCTTGAGAATCTTGACTCTGAATATCACTAGCTATGCGGATATGGTCGCCTTCCCTCTCAGTGCAGCGCTGCCCAGCA